TGCTGCATCATGGTAAATAACTGCAAAAAAGCAAGTGAGATAAGGTATCAGCATAGCTATGCAATGTATGATAGAGATAACAGGATTGAGACACAGGAAGCTGAAAAACATAGACAGAGGGATGTAGAGCTAATGTAATCCTAGAGAACAGGCTAGAGATTGATTTGTATGGGAGAGATGAAGTGGCAGTCAATGTAAGGGTTAGATTATATTCTGATGAAGTTTTTGGGTGATACATGGATGGACGATGGAGATGATAGGGTCATGCTTGGACGCTAAACTTCTTTTGAAGGCCAAACATCTGGATATTAACAATATATTTTTTTTGAAATAAATCTGGATATTAACAATATAAATTATTTAGTAAGAATCTGGATATTAACAAAATGTATTCAAGTCCAAACCAATATAATTTTCTAACTGACAAATTTTTCTTATTTTTTGAAATGTCTTTTTAAATATACAAATTACATATATTATTTAGTAAAAATTTGACTATACAGAGTGTTTTGTAATTCAGATTACGATTTTCAAATGGCTGACTCCTATTATCTTGATTCGTCAGATTGATCCTGGAAAAACCTTGCCTAGGGGAACGGATGAAATGGTGCTACAAGGCCCCACAAGGCAGAATACCTTTCATCATGGTGCTACAAGGCCCCAAAGAAAAGTTTTAAAGAAAAGCTACTGAAATAGCAGAAGCAAAAGTAAGGGATTAATCACAGAAGAGAAAGAAAGAAAAGCTAAAAAGATTAAAGAAGATCAAATCCAGAGAATAGACCCCAATACTATCTAAAGATTTGAGTCCAAATTCAAAAACAATTTCATAAAACAATTTTTTTAAAATATACAAAAGATATTGAAGTTCTATTATCTAATTAAGAATTCTACCGAAATTAATTTAATTTAGAAAATTTACTACTTACCTACTACTAAAATGTTTTACAAAATAATTTTTTGAAATAATTTTAAACATAAAAAATTAATTAGTGACAGTTTGCATATTACTAAAATGTATGAGTCTAAAAACATGCTGTGGGATGAAGAGTAAGGAGTTGCAATTGATTCATTAAAGGTGGATCAAAAACCAATGATACATTTGTCTGGGTAAAAAAAAATTGAGTTTGAAAAGGTGTAAAGGGGTTGCACCTTCATGGTACTTTTAGTACCATACTTCATATTAGCGAAAAAAAGAGTTTGAAAATAGTAGGTAATGGATGAGGCACCATGTGACATAGGCTAATTAATTTTGGCTTACAAATTTTTAATCTTAGACTAAAAATAAAATCAAGAACTAGAGATAATAGCGAATAAAATAAACTAAGAAATGAAACAAGTGGAATAAAACTAAATCATGTGAAAGGTTCCCTAAGCACAATTACAAGACCTTTTCAGGACAGAAAGCAATTAAATTTTTCTTTGATGCCCCCAATCCTCAAACACAAAAGGTGCTTTTTTACGGATGTCTAAAACTACCATTTCCAAGTAAATACAATTTCCGGTTTCAAGGCTTCAGAAAACTGTCAAATCACCCATTTTAAGTACCCGAACAGTAAGTAATGCCAGAACCCAAAAATAATGTTCATGCATCTGGGCTTGAAACGGAATGTTACATAAGAAACCTATCCCAGACAGCCGTCTAAACGTCAAAGATAGTAGCTCAAAACAGCAAACAAAATATCTACGTTCAGTGAATAGGTGAAGTGATAAAGCTATAATCATGCATGCTAGTTGTAATCCGAAGCAGCAAATATCCAATAGCCCCAAAGTGATAAAACAATGATTATTTAGTTATGAAAAGAATTTTCATTAGGGTGTGCTCCCTTTCTCTTAGGAATATTCTCGCAAAACCCATTGCCAAATCCATTATACATGCTTACTACATGCCAAAGCTAAAGAAAGTGTAGAAAAAAAGATTAGGCAGAGCCTAAAATGCACAACACACGAAAAAAAAAAATTCGTTTTTTTTTTGTTTCCCATTGCGGATAAAATAGCTGTCTCATACTAAGATCTTTGAAGATGGCCAATCAATTGGAGGTTACTGAAATCTCATTATGAATTAAACCAGGCCACATGCTTCCAATGCAACAAAATGAGATGAAGTTCGGGATGAATAGGCTCTCCACTCATTGGAGCCTCTACATGCGTGATCAAAGCTCTTCCTTTGGCATTAAATAATGCAAGACAGTGGCGGATAAAATAGCTGTCTCATCCTAAGATCTTTGAAGATGGTCAACCAATTGGAGGTTATTGAAATCTCATTATGAATTGAAACAGGCCACATACTTCCAATGCAACAAAATGACAAGAATGAGATAAAGTTCGAGACAAATAGGCTCTCCACTTATTGGAGCCTCTACATGCGTCATCAAAGCTCTTCCTTTTGACTTTCATATAATGCAAGACAGTGAATAGGTGCAAGTCAAAAATCTAGTCGTCAAGTTCTTACACAAAACCTCTCCAAGAAAAAACATACTGGCCATCTCAACCATTTTAGTGATAAAGCAAAGTGTGTAAAAGCAACAGTACAACAACTATTCTATTTATAAGAAAACGAGACTTCATAAAAGGCAGATGCACAACTGCTTTGAACAAAAGCCAAGCAGGATGTGGATCAAAATAATCAGACTGGAAACTTGCTAGAAAACGAACCATTTACTAAACAATTTATTACCTAAGCCTCTGCCCATAACCCAAACGTATTCCCCATTTCCTGGTACAAAGCGGCGTGTTATATGAAAGTTGGATTCAATACAAAGTATACCAAAGCAACCAAACAAACAGTAACAAGCATTGTTTCAAGTTAGGATCAAATTTTTCTACAAAGATAGACAGGAGACACACGCTCGTGCAGTTAATAGGAGGCACCATTTCGTAACAGAAACCATATTATGCCAAATTCTCTCACAGGATCAACATCCCTCTTAAATTAACACTAACTCAACAAATTAACCACAAATAAATCCAAGGTCTCAAATTCACCGGATTATCGCACCTTATTGATATTCCCATTCCATTTAGCGTTATTAATGTTATTAAAATAAAGGAGAAGGGCTACCATACAGAGAGATCCAAAATCGATTGCCCCTAAATAGAGGATTTTTCCAACAGTTACCACAAGCATGCATAACTATGTAATTTTCTTAACTGATTTTTTTTTTTTCCTAAAGGAGTGTGCGTAGTGTCATAGAAGGTAATATAGAAACAGATGCGAGCAAGGGTTTAAAAATCTTTACCTAAGTACGTTCAAATCAAGAAAGTTCCAGTAGCCCAACACCCCTTTCTCGAGGTCCTGAATCCTGCAGACGACTCTCCCTACACTCCTTTTTATTCGTTTTGCGTTTATTGCTTTTAGTTGATTTGTACCATCTCCTTTTCTTTTGCTTGTTCGTTATTCAGTCTCTCTGTTTCTTCTTTCGTTTTTCGTTTTCTTCTTCGATCTCCCTGTTTCCCCCGCCGATCTCGGCTCACTTTTTTCTTCCTTTCTTCCCCTCTTTTCCACTGCTCTATTTCTTCGCTTCCCCAAAAACTCACCGAGAATCCCCAAAAAATCCTCTCTTTTTTCTCACGAAACAAAAAATCTCCTCTCCCTCGGCCCCTCTGCTTCCCTGTTTCTCTGCTCTTCTCTGCTTATCCACTAACTGAAACCCTAAGGCTGCCTCGTCTCATCTGTCGTGATCGAGCAGAGCGAATAAAATAAAGGGCTTCTCTAAAACGGCGTCGTTATTTCCGTGGAGCAGTTAAAGAACCGGGCCCGATTGTGCTGGGCCCTAATTTTGATTCATGATCTTGTTATGATAATTTCGCTTTAAAAAAAAAATTAAACATTGATTAAATAATACAAAATTGTCAAACATCGTATTTTAAATTTTATATAAATAACACTATTTGAAATCTAAAAATAATAATATAATAATTTTAGGAAAGAAGTAGGAAATGATTAAAATAACAATAGAAAAGCAAAATTTACAATTTATACCCCAAAAAAAAAAACTAATAAATCATTTTATTCAAGTACTTAATTTAAAAAAAATGAAAATAGGAAATTTACCCAATTTAAACACTCCTCTAAAACAGATTACTAAATTAGCATATAACTATTTTTACTAAATAAACTAGCACAGTACTGAAAAAGCTAGTTGATTAATTACTCATTTTTATCTATAATCTCACAATTCTTTCTTTGTCACCATTTGAAGGACAGAAGTCGTCGAAAACTTTGACATTATACTTTCTTAAACGCAATCATCCAAATGGGAATTTTGTCATTTCACACTCCAAAAACCAGAAACAGGATGGGAAACAGTAAAGAGTTGAAGTGAAGATCATTAAATTACATTTTGGTACTAGATTGTCGGGAACCGAACAGAGACAAAATGGAACCAGATTTTCCAAAGCTCCGGTTAATGGTGTTTTTGTTAATCTTAGTGAATGTCACCTCGGATTATGTTAGACCTCTCCCTCGTGAAGACCTGGAGTTCCCGTGGAACCCAAAGCCCTCTTCTGAACCTCAGCAGGTAACCTTATCATCTCTTATCTACCATTTATACATATATATATGTATATTTTTTTCTTTCTGGGTGTTGAATATTTCTCATATGTGTCATGGTTCTGCTCAAAAGTTAGGTGCTTTTATTTGCCTTGATCCGATCTAGGTTTTGATTTCTTTTGCTTAGTGTGGGGAAAAATTGTTTTCTTTTCCATGGATATTTTCTGGGAAAATTTATGGGTTGGAGTTATTAGCTTAATTGGTAATTACAAAGGCAGGTTTCTGAGAAAAAAAAGTTGAAATTTTTGGTGCTTAGATTTGTCTTATCTTCCAAGGGCATACTTTTTCTTGGAGAGAAATAAGCTGTCTGCAGGGGAATAATGAGAAGTTTTATAGCACATGGTGGATTATAAATTTTTCCCAGACTTGTTTCCCTTGGTGAGAAAAAAAGAGAGAGTGAATTTTAAGTTTCAGCTGGTGGTTTGTTACGAACATGATTGTCTGTTCATTGATTTGGCTAGTAATAATATTGGTGTTCAATTGAAGGATGCTAACATGTTTTTATCACTGTAGACTTTAGAACAAGTTTTAACTGACCTGGGGCGTGCATTTCTAGTCATGGAGTCGAATTTGCTTTCATTTGTTTTTGCTGATAGATTTTTAGTGAATCTATTGAAAATTTAGTCAATCACCCAAATTAAAATTTTCAGTTACTTCTATTCTATCCATTCTTCGCAAGTTGGGAGAGAAAAAGTTTTGTGTCTTTTTGAGGGAGAATGGTGTATTTTTTGTTTATAACTTTCTTTATTACCTTGTTTCTAGATCATCTTAGCTCAAAATTTCTTATGGAAGTTGTGGTTTCTACTTTCTTTAATATGCTTGGCTCTACAAATGCCTGTTGTAGGTGCATATATCTTTAGCAGGAGATAAACACATACGAGTTTCTTGGGTAACCAACGATCACTCCTCTCCTTCAACAGTTAAATACAGAACATCCTCAGGGAGATACACTTCCATAGCGCAAGGAGAAAGCACCTCTTATGGCTATCTATTATATAAATCAGGGAAGATACATCATACTGTCATTGGACCATTAGAGCCTAACACTGTTTACTTCTACCAGTGTGGAGGACAAGGTCCTGAGTTTCAGCTGAAGACTCCTCCAGCTCAATTGCCATTAACTTTTGCTGTGGTTGGGGATTTGGGCCAAACTGGCTGGACAAAATCAACTCTAGAACACATTGACAAGTGCAAATATGATGTGCACCTGCTCCCTGGCGACTTGTCATATGCTGACTATATGCAGCACCAGTGGGATACATTTGGTGAGCTGGTTGAGCCACTTGCAAGTGCAAGGCCGTGGATGGTGACAGAAGGAAACCATGAAAAGGAATACATACCGTTATTAACTGATCGGTTTGTGTCTTACAATTCAAGGTGGAAGATGCCATTTGAGGAGAGTGGATCACCTTCGAATCTGTATTACTCTTTTGAGGTTGCAGGGGTTCATGTTATCATGCTCGGTTCATATACCGATTATGATGAGTACTCCAACCAATATAACTGGTTGAAGGTTTGTTTTCTTCATCTTTATCTTCATGGAATTTTGTTTTGCTTCTCCTAGAGGTATTTGCAAAGAAATTTATCTGGTTGGGTTAAAACTTTATCATATTGGTTAACAGTTACAGTTAAAATGTTCACCTTGCAGAGAAATTTAAACTTGTCAAAAATGAATTTTCTCTAAGTGCTAGGCTATTGCTTTCTGGATCTCCCAATATCTTGTTTGGGTAATTAACATGTTCAACTTGGCTAATTGCTCGAATGTAAACCATGCGAGAAAGAACTTCACCAAAATCTTACAATAAAGAATGTGTCTTGTAAGCAATCAAACTGTTGGAGGTTCTTTTCTTCTGTCTTTTCCTGCAAAAATGACTTTTTGTTTCTCATTCATATGCCTTTTAATTCTTTCCTCTCCGAGCAAAGATCATGTTTAGAGGAGTGTTTGTTCTACTGTTCTTGATATTAGGGTGATCTAGCGAAGGTAGACCGGGAAAGGACACCATGGCTTATTGTTCTCTTCCATGTGCCATGGTACAACAGCAACAAAGCTCATCAAGGTGAAGGGGACGAGATGATGGCAATCATGGAGCCTTTGCTTTATGCTGCTAGCGCAGATATTGTACTTGCTGGTCATGTACATGCTTATGAACGATCGGTATGCCAATGCTGGTAAAACTTAGCCTTTTCGTTAATATTATGAACTCAGCTTATAATATGTGGCTACTGTTTGTTTGGCAGAAACGTTCTTATGCTGGAAAGCCAGATCCTTGTGGTGCTGTCCACATAACCATCGGAGATGGAGGAAACAGAGAAGGTTTAGCTCATATGTATGTCCTAACTCCAGATCTATTGCAAACTTCTTGGCTGCAATTTTAGTCATGCCTCAAATAATCCAGTGAAAATTTTGATACACTTCAACTCAAATTCTGAGTCCTCTGAATTGATTGCCAGGTACAATAACCCACAGCCTGAGTGGTCTGTCTTCCGTGAAGCAAGCTTTGGTCATGGTGAGCTCCAGATAGTAAATTCGACACATGCTTTCTGGACCTGGCACCGGAATGAAGATGATGAGCCGGTGAAGTCTGATCATGTCTGGATAACCTCTTTAGTGAGCTCAGGATGTGTTGCTGAGAAGAGGCATGAACAGAGAAAAATACTAATGGCTCCTTAGGACCATAATGTCTTTGGTCCAAAAATGTATGAATTTGGTGAACTTTCTTATGAGGTTCTGAGTATATATCTACCATTTTATATAAAATCCAGTATATGCTCCTTCAAGAACTCACAATCTTCTATTGTCCTTCCCCTTGATATCCTTTGTATTTATTTTGAGTTCCTCAAAAGCCTATTATATAGGTTGCTGTTGTGGAGTGTGACTCACACTTTAATATTGTGAAAGGTGAATGGGTAAATTACATTTAGAGTCCCTACTGTTGATTCCTTCTGATCTAGTAGCTGATGTAGTCAGCATTGATTTATGAAATTATTTTGCTGGTGCACAATGTGCATAACCCAATATTGGATCTCAGTTACATCCTTTTAATTTACAAAGCAGAAGTGTATTATAGAAGGGCTCTTGAAGTAGAATTTAGCATAAAATTTAAGATACAAGGATGAAGAAAATAAGTATACATCACACCCTGTGTAACTAAAATTAAAGAATTGGAAAAGTGAAGAACTTGTAATGAGGCTGCTAAGCGTTAGTTTGTTAGCTATCAGTAATATGAGTGGAATGAGCAAGGCAGTCACGATGAGAGGTCCCCATGCTATTTGGCCTGTACAATCTTGCTTGAAATGAATCAGCAATCTATGAAACTAATTGAGGAATCGGGATCACAAGTGCCCGCAACAAGTGCAAACATCAGGAAACAGATGCAAGAATCTGACAAGCACACTTAGAATGTTCAGTATCCTGTTCCCAATCCCTCTTCCCCTTCCAAAGTAAAATCTGCAAGAATCTGACAAGCTCACTTAGAATGGTCAGTATCCTGTTCCCAATCCCTCTTCCCCCTCCAAAGTATAATCTGCTCATCCTTAAACAAAATAGGGGCACAAGGCACTAAATCCTGCATTTATGCAAAGCCAAAGAAATTAGCAAAATGCAGAAATCCAAATCCTAACTTCGTTAAAAGTCCAGGGATAATTGCAGTTTCACTGCTGTTACCAAACCTTTAGCTTGACACCGATCCTTTTGCAGTCACTCATCCCCACATGAGTGCAGTCTAATCTGATAACCTCTTCAGCTCTGAAAGCATCCCTCACCCTGTCCACCACGTTAACATACACACCATTCCTGGCTGAACAAATTTTGCATTTACATCAGTAATTAGCCTATGTTATATCCTTTCCTCTCACCTATATCATGCCTATGAGCTAGGAGCAGAATGAATGTACAACCCTCAAAAGTTCTCTTACTAAGTTTCAATAATGCAGGAGAATGGAGTCCTCTGTTTCTCATTTCCTTATTTTCTTCAAATGTAAGACCATCAGCAACATTCTTCACAAGTCTTGGATATATAGGAGCATAAGGCTTCCACAGCATCAGAGGTATAACCGGACGATTCTTGGGATCATAATTTCGACCTCGGTACAGAAGAAGTATGTTTAAGTGGCGGTAGATAATCTTCCCACCAGATTTATCCTACATAAATACTACTTTTAACATCAGCTATAATGATTTCTGAAGACATAAATACCACGTGAGCGGACAATGTAGTACCTCAAAGTGGAAGCAAACGCTGTCCATGTCAAGAGTTGGCACTCCCAAGCACTTGATCCTCACAGCTTCAGCCCTCTTCCAATGGTTGTGGATGTCATCTAACATATTGTGAGTCACTCCTCCTTTTCCTAATACAGAAATCTTAGCTATTAGCCCATCTCATTAACGTCAACAGAAGGAAGAAATGGACTCTCTGTAATATCAACCAGTACAGAAAACTTAATATTCCAACTTCATATTCTCACTACACTGAACATAAAAATGAAGTCTTTTTGTTTTTCTCCATTCTCTTCTCTCTCCAAAAACGAAAAGATTTGGGAGAAAGATAATCTCTCCATAATTCATTCACTTCCTTAATCCAAACAAGTTGTTAATCTCGGTTAATAATAAGCAAACACCACAATAAGCAATGCAGTTCAGCTAAAGCTTCAATCTTTATTTAGACTTCAAGCTTAAACATCAGGAGGGGAAAGAAAAAAGGATTAATCTTCCTAGAACATTAACTAAAATCTCTGTCAGGAAAAAACCAATTAAAACGAAGAGCAGGCGAGAAAGTACCCAGATTGATTTGCCTAGCACAATCGTTATGCCGATACCGTTCAACAAGCTCTGCAACTTCCTCATCCGTTAACGGGTCACCAAGAACCAGATTCCTTCGCTCCACCCACCACTCCCCGTCGACCTCTTTTTGGGGCGGGGCAGACGTCCCAGTCCAGCCCCGATCAAGACGGCCGGGACCGAACGGTGAGAACCTCTTTGGTTCTCGAAACCCGATTGGCTCAACAGCTGGGTTGGTCTCGGAATAGGAATACATAAAATCAAAAGGAAGATCAGATGTTAGAGGGAGTTTCGGGTCTTCCTTTTGCTTCGGAGCGTTTAGTTGGGTTTTCTTCGTTTTAGGTTTTCGAGGTTTTGTAGGTTTGGATGAAGGAGAAAAAGGAGGATCATAAGGTCCTTCAGAAAGTGAGTGCGTTAAGGAAAGAGAAGAGAGATGGGGAAACGGGGAATTTGGGTGTTTAGCCAAAAGAGAAATTAGGGTTTTGCGAGTTGAGAACATTGGAGAAGAAAGCTCTAATCTTTGCCTGTTGGCTGATGATGGCAGTTCAGTTCTTCTCAAGGTTCTTCAGCAGGCAACAGCAGGAACTGAACAGAGACTAGTGGGGAGGGTATAAGTGTAATTACGTATATAAGCCCCCCAAAACTTACACCTTCTTCATCAAATACTTCTCTTTTGATTTGTTGTTACATATGCTTATACAAGTTTCATCGCATATTGGTTGTCAAATAGTGAAAATCTAACATGTTTAAATCAAAACGTTAGCAAAAAATTGTTAGAGAACTACTTCATTGGATAAATATGTATATTACATTTAAAATGAGACTAGAGCCTAATTAGTCACCAACTCTAACTGAATCTTAAAGTGGGGTTACAATTTTCAGTGCTTTCAAATAATATATATGGCTTGAAACTAAATATATCTGTATACACAACCAAAAATTCAAAATTGTGTCAATGCAGCCTGTAAAAGCAAGCAGAAGAGTTGCTCAGTTTTCAGAGATTTTGGTTAACCTCTCAGCCTTGCACCGTCTCTGATCGCCTACCATTGACTTGAAAACATCCAGTAGATCATCTAAACCTTCAGGATACTCCCCTATTGCCTTCATTGCATACACAATGCTTTCAATGGTGGACAAATAACCAGCCTTTGGCTGGTGTCTGACCTCACTATACAAGCTACTTGTATCCAGATCCAACCTCAGATGTGGCAAAAGCTTCAGCCAAGGATTCTCAACATATATTCTCTTTGCTTTCGACCATGTACCGTCTAGAACAATCAAATTCTTCACCTCGAAATTGGTAGCCTCAAGATCATTGATACTAACTGCGTTTTCACTGGGGAACAAAAGTACTGAACCAGGAGGAACCTCGATTTCAAACTCTTGATGTTCTTCCATTTTCATGGTCCCATACAGCTTGTTCCATCTTTTCACAACAAACCCTTTTGCCAGAGCATCCATGGCAACCTGAGAGGCCAAAATATGGTCAAAGTTAAGCTTGTTCCCATGAGATTGGAGCATGAAATCATGGGAAAAATCACTGATGATACCATGTTTGCCAACTGTTGCTGTCACAAGAGGTTCCTTTCTGCATCTTGGAATATCTCTGTTTGGATGAAAACCCAGTGGCATAATATTCTCCGCAAACCTGCTAACAGCTTTCTGATTGGGAATAGTACTACAAGCTAAGATTGTATCTAAATTGGGGCTTTTGGTAAGGTGCTTAAAAGTGGTCTCAGTATCAGATAACCTCTTTGTGCTGCTGCATTCTCCATCTTCTGGCTGAAGATACCAGACATCACTCGTCAGCTTATCTGAAAATTCAACAAGGTCCAAACTTTCAGAACACTTCTGCTTCTTTGAACCTCCACTACAATTAACCAAATTGGACTTTTTCACCACGGGGCACTTCGTGCTTTCCTTAAATTGCCAATCACCCATCATTTCTCTTTTCAAAATAATCCCATCAACATCCTCAGAAACCATTTGCTGGTTCTCTTTACTTTCCAATACTCGATCAAAACCTGAATTTTCTATGCCATTTCTACCCGAATCTTCTTCAAAACCCGGTTCAAGTAACTGAATGGTTAATTCGGCTTCAAAATCGATGTCAAAAACAGTTGTCACGGCGACATTCTTGAGACCTAGTTTAGCAATTCTAGTAGAATTAAGAGCGTGCTTTCTCTCTAAACTGTGTTGAAGAATGGTTACACTTACGGAGTTGTCGAGACTCGGGTTCCGGATCCTGATGCAGATGCAGAGAGGGGCGGGTTTGGAGCAAGATGGGCACATGGGTCTCTTGGATTTGGATTCCATTTTCAGGGTTTTAGAAAAGTACAGTGTTTGACTATTAAGGGCATGGATGACCGAATAAACAAGGTTAGTTTGGGTATTTGATAGGATTCCGGTCCCGAAATGCTTAATCATTTTGTAAAATGGTGTTCCCCGTTTTGACTGTCAAGAGTATAAGGGAAACCCTAGTTTCGTCAGGATGGGAGGAAGGAGCATGAAACGACGTCGTTGTCGGAACAAAAATGTTAATGTTCAGTCAATTAGTTACATAAAATATAATATTATTTTTTTAATTATATTTGATACTATATTATATTATATTTAATTAATTTTTTTAAGATTACGGGAGGACATAATTGTCGCTTTGAAAGTGTGGAGGGCGAAACCCGACAACAACAATCTAAAATGATTTAAAAAAAAAACGAACTTGAAAGTTGAAATCGTTGACCAACGGAGCTTGCCACGCGCCCACCACACGCATCATTTGGACAAAATCGTTGGTCGATCATCTTCTCTCCCTCCTGATCTAGACTTTCCCGTGAAAATTCTGTTCGAAGAAAATGCATGATTTCTGCTTCACGATCCCGTACGGGCTGATTCTTATAGCTGGGGGTATTATTGGGTATGTGAAGAGAGGGAGCACATCATCGTTGGCCGGTGGAGCTGGCTCTGGATTGCTGCTCATTCTTGCTGGTTATCTGAGTCTCAAGGCTTTCGAGAAGAAGAAGAACTCATATTTTGCGCTGGTTCTTGAGACGGGTGCTTTTCTTTGTGTCTGTAGTTTTGGTTCATATTTCTTGCTTTTGAGTTCGCTTGATCTGGGTGTAGATTTCTTTCAGATTATATACTCTTCTTTCTCTTTTTACTTGTCGTAACTACTGAAATACGGTTTTGATCTATGTTTTATTCGTCTCTGCAACGCAGAGAATCGTAACCTTAGCGTGTTACAACATAAGGGTTTTCATGTATTTTGGAGATATCAAATGGGTAGCACTGGGAATTAAACAATTATGTTAGTAGCTATTTATTTGATGAAAACTCGTTTACAAGAGCTGAAATGATTTGGTATAGACGAGGCTAGAATAAGGCCAGATGTTGAAGATGATATTCTTAAGATTAGGACTAAAAATGAATGCAGAAACTAGGAAGTGAACTTTCCCTTTACAAGCCTAACCAAGCTTTTGTTTCTCAGGAAGACTGATAGACATAACTATAATGACAGCTTTTAGTTTCTGACTGATCTTTCTCTGGTCTAAAACACAAAGGCATCTATTGCATGCACTTTAATATTTAGAGAAGCTGGTTATGCACTTTTATTTATTATCATGGAAGTCCATTAAGTGATTGAATTTTTTTTTCTCCAATCTCCATGATTACAACTTCAATATTTGGCTTATCACTCAGAGAATCTCCATGATTACAACTTCAATATTTGGCTTATCACTCAGAGAAAGTTATTTTTAAGTGACCGTTGGATGTATGATTTCCTGCAAACGACATGAAAATTGTATGAGTTCTTAATTCCTATATATGGGTTATCACTAAGAAGTTCTTTGGTAGCTTATGGTGCAGTTGACTTATGTATTTTATCTCTGTAGATTAGTTACACCAAACAAAGTAATTTGAATGTCTGAATGTTTATTCATCAAGGCAAGTTGGAGTGTTTATGTTCATTAGGGCCCGGCTTCCTGACTACGGACTATTACATTAACGATTAGTGACAGGAACAATCAGAGTGTTAGATTATACAAAGCTGTCCCCATTCGTTTGACCTCTGTTGTATATCCTCTTATAGAATATAGGGGACGAATGGGAGGCTTTTCATCAATAATGGGTCCGTGATTATCAAATTACATTTGTCTTATTTGGGAACCTTATCTAATGAAGTTTCCTGATGGTGGGTCAGAGGGAAGTATGCTTTGATCTGAGGATATTAAGAATCTTTGTAATATAACTCTTGTTTTTCTTTTCTTATTCTTATTGGTCATCAAGAGGGGACATGGACTTTGAATGAACTGTTGCCTAGGTTGGTTTCTTCTTTCTCCTCATTTTTCCCACATGTCTGAAGCAGTGAACTTTGTTACTTCAGGTATCAGATGCTAGATTATCTTGTGCTAGTATAACTATGAAGTCAGAGGGGTTATGAGGGTGGACAGATGAAAGAACTTATTGAGTGTTATTTTCTTATGCTAGTATAACTGCAAACTCTGTATTATTCTTCATGTTATTTTCTTTTCTTTCTCACTTTCAATCTATGCTATTTCATCTGGGCTGATTTATTTATTTATTTATTGGAAATAAATCTGGGCTAATTGATGCTTCTTCAAAACAGTTTGTGCAGCAGCTCTCACAGCTGTCATGGGACAACGCTACATTCAGACCTCTAAGATTATGCCAGCTGGTATTGTTGCTGGCCTCAGGTATGTTTCTGATGAGCCTGATCTTTCTCAGTCTGTGGTTAATTTTGTTAGTTGTATATTGCCTTAACAGTATTTCATCTGTTACATAAATGTGAATTTCTGATAATCTAGTTACTTGATTCCTGTTTGTATAAATGGACATGAAGAGAGGGATATTGTGCATTTTTCTGCAAGTAATTCAGGAAAGTGGATTTCAAAAAAAAAAAAAGAAAATTTATTGGAGTTGTAAATTTGTGGAAAATTTCCCTGGATGAGTATAAAATTCATTACCATGCACGGGAAATCCATTCTCTTGTTATTTTTTCCTATATAAATTCCTGACGTATCAATACCTGTGCTTGCAAACGTCCAACTCTGGGAATTCCTTTTGCTTGATGATCTGGGATTAGTATATACTTACTCCCTTAAATGGAAACTAGAGAAGATCCTTGTGATATCAGACTTGATTTTTTTCTTCTAAATTGATGAGGTTTATACCTGATTGATACCAGGTTGGTACCATGTTGGTACCCGGTTGGTACCTGGTTGATTCAACTGTTTTCAAATTTTGGTTAAAAGAAGATACAGATATGATGATCTATATGATAGCATGGTCATCCTTTAGATGATTAGATTGTGACACATTTCTTTTCCCTTGGAAAATGACAAAGTAGTTTGTTTAGTTGGCAACCTCAACAAGTATACCGTATATGCTAGTGAATGAACTTCCCCTGCGTCTTCGTTATTCACATGATTTCATTGCCAAAGGCTTTAAATTTTTCATGTTGCAGATGATTTCTCATTTTCCAACAATTTA